TTCCCCGATTCAGCTGCTGGTCAGTTTCAGCAGCGGCTGAATTGGGGAAGCCGGGCACAGGGCAGCTCCAATTGTCCAGCTGCCCTGAGCACTTCTGCGTTCCTGATGGTGCTGGACCATCAGGAGTGCTGGAGCATTGGATGCCAGACTAATGGAGTTTTACTGTATTTACTCGATTTCCACCCATATGACAGCACTTTTAATGAACAATGACAATTCAGAAATTTAACTACTAAAATGCATAGCAACAGAAGACCATTATGTTGACTATTTTTTGGCTCTCATCCGTGGGCCACATGTTGAGCACCGTGTAAACCCAAATTGCACCGTGGGCTACAAACAAATGGGCCGTAGACCGCCTGTGGCCCACAGCCCACCTATTGAGTAGCCCTGATCCAGAGGGTGCTGTAGGGCCACAACAGACAGCAGTGGTTGTCAGTGACAACCAACTGCTTTTATCACAAAACCCTGCTTGTGGAGCCAGATTAGGAGGCATGTGGGATATGGAAGTGGGGACAACAGAATGGGGCACGTGAGGCTCCTGAAGGGTGGTGTCACAAGTTGGGGTTTAAAAGAGCTAGTGGGGAGGACAGACTGGGGGGAGGGCTCAGGAGTTAGTGGGGTGATAGCATTGACCCAGGGGCTGAATTGAAGAGAGGCTGCAGGCCACATGGGGTTGAGGCCAAATCTGCCTGACTGAATGGGAGAGGAGCTTCAGGGGGTAGCTGAATTAGTCTGTTACAGGAAAAAAACAACAACAAATGGTCTGGTAGCACTTTATAGACTAACAAAACATGTAGATTTGTGGTATGAGCTTTCATGGGCACAGCCCACTTCTTCAGATGACTGGAGTTATGAGTTTAGGATGTGCACACCCAAAATAAATGAGAGGGGAAGGGTAGAAAAAGGAAGGGGTTGGGAGTCAGAGAGAAGAGGGAATCAGTATGTATCTGAAGATTGGGTAGTTAAAATAAGCAGATAAGAATCAAAGTTAATAGATAGTATCCTTCCTGGCATGGTAGTATACACAAAGAGCTGTTTGCACCTTCAATGGCTGTTAAGTTGGTAGTGTCCCAACCAACTTTCATCACAATTGAGTCCATTAGCATGTGAATTGAATGTGTGGATGAACTCTAATTCCAGTGCTTCCCTGTGGATCTGGATTGTAGAACTGGTTTGTGACAAGACAGGTACATGGAGATCTTTTAAAGAGTGATGTGGAAGATTGAAGTGCTCCCCAATAGCTTTCTATATGTTTCCTTTACGTATATCTGATGTGTCCATTAATTCTTTCCTGCAGAGAATGTCCAGTTTGTCCAATATATATATAACAGTGGGGGCACTGCTGACATTTGATGGCATAGATCAAATTACTGGATGTGCAGTCAAATGACCTTTTGATATGATGACTTATGTTGTTGGCTCCAGTGATGAATTCGCCAGTATAGATATATGGGCAGAGTTCGCATCGTTTTTGGTTGCAGGGCTGGGTTCCTGGAGGCTTATGATGTGGTTGTGTGGCATGGTTATCAGAAAGAATTCATTTCAGGTTAGGGAGTTGTCTGTAAGCAAGAATAGGCTTTTCTCCCAAGGCCTCTGAGAGAGGTTGTAGATTGTGTATAATGTGCTGGAGGGGTCTGAGTTGTGGACTGTAGGTAATAACAAGAGGAGTTCTGTTGTTTTCTCTTTTGGGTCTGTCTTGAAGTAGTTCATGTCTGAGTACTTTTTTGGCTCTGTCTATTTTTTTTTTTCAATTCTCCAGGTGGGCATTTCAGTTTTAGGAATGCTCTGTAAAGATCCTGTAGATGACTGTGTCTTTCTGTGGGGTCGGAGCAAATCCGGTTGTATCTTAGGGCTTGTCTGCATACAATAGACTAAGAAATGTGTCTGGGATGGAAGCTGCAGGCATGAAGGTAAGTGTAGTGGTCGGTGGGTTTCCAATATAGGGTGGTTGAAATATGTCCATTATTTAACTGAACTGTAGTGTCCAGGAAGTGGATTTCTCGTGTGGACTGGTCCAGGCTGAGGTTGATGGTGGGGTGGAAGTTGTTGAAATCCTTGTGGAATTCTTTGAGGGTAGCTTTTCCATGGGTCCATATGATGATGTCATCTGTGTAGCGTAAGTAAAGTAGGGATGTTGGGGGCGAAAGCTGAGGAAATGTTGTTCAAGGTCAGCCGTAAAGATGTTGACATATTTGGTGCCATGCGAGTGCCCATGGCTGTGCTGCTGACTTGGAGATAGAAATTGTCTCTGAATTGGAAGTTGTCCTCACCCACAACAAAGTCACAGAGCTCTGTAATCAAGTGTGCAGTGTTATCAGGGATGATGTTCTTGATGGCCTGTAATCCGTCTTCGTGTGGAATGTTGGTGTAAAGGGCTTCTACATCCATGGTGGCCAGGATGGTATTTTCAGGAAGATTATTGATGTTTTGAAGTTTCCTTAGGAAGTCAGTGGTATCGCGGGTTTGGGTATTTTGGGTAGCAGATAGAAAGTTCCTGGTTGGGAATTGGGGGCGGGAGGTGTTAGTGTAAATTTGTTCCTGAGCAGCATCAGGGAGTTTCATGAGCATTTTTTTTCATGTTTTTTTGGTATTCCTTAGTGGGATTACAGGAGAGAGGCTAGGGGTCAGCGAGAATCTGCATGCAGATGGCTCCTTGACTCTGAGTCTCTCCTCTTCTCCTCACACACCAAAAAGAAAAAAGAAACAGCTAGTTCCATATTTCTCCCACCTACACTCAATAATCCTCCAGTTTAGTTCCCAGCCTTCTTCCCCTTTCAGAGTTCCTCTGTTACCCTTCTCCCCTAACCCTGTGCACTGCTTTTGAGGGTTGTGGGAAATATTTGTATGTGTTTAAATGAATTACTCTAAGTTCAGTATTCAATTGCCTACTAAGGAATCTATTGATCAAAAATAAATTTCTGGTTCCTTTTTTTGTCTTTATTGTCTATCAGCAAGTATGTCTGTATTTTGAACTAAATTACCAAAATAATTAAGACTGGCAAAATTATAGAGGAATTTTAAAATATTGTGCACAGAATTTTAAAATGTTTGGCACAGAATTCCCCCAGAAGTAATACATGGAGTGACACTGGCATAGAGAGTACACTTATAAAGTTTGTGGATAATACCAAGCTTAAAGGGGGAGTGCAAGTGGTTTGGATGGGATTAAAGTTCAAAATGAAAAATAGTCTGGAGTAAATAGGATGAAATTCAACAAAGACAAATGAGACGTACTCCACTTAGAAGGAACAATGAATTTCACACATGAAAAATGGAAAATGACAACCTAGAAAAGAGTAACGCAGAAATTGATTTGGGGGTCATAGTGGATCACAAGCTAAACGAGTCAGTCATGTAACATACCATAATTGTAGCTAAGCTTCCTGGGATTTCCATGAAATGTGCTTACAGCCACCAGTCCTGGATTTCAGTGTTCTGTGATGTTATTTAGTTCTAATATACCCCTAAATATATTCTAAGAGCTTAGTAAATAAGGGAAGTGTTGGTAATGTTACTAGACAGTATTGGCCTACTGTTGTTTGGCAAATTCTCTGGTTTGGCACCAGTCAGGTCCTGAGGGTGTTGGACTAAAAAGGTTCAGGTCTGCGTGCCATATTTCAGGAAAGGTATAGACAAATTGGAAAAAGTCCAGAGAAAAGCAACAAAAATTGTTAAAGGCCTAGAAAACGTGACCTATGAGGAAAGAGTGGAAAAAAAAAATCAGTCTAAAGAAAAGAAGACTGAGAGGAGGGTGTTAACATTTAATGTACTGAAAACTATAAAAGGAGGAGGGAAGTAAATTGTTCTTGTTAATCTCTGAGAATAGGACAAGATTCACTGGGGCTTACATTGCAGCAAGGGAAGTTTATGTTAAACATGAAAAACTTTCTGTCAAGGTAGTTAAGCAGTGAATATTGTCTTTTTTGGGTTAGGAGCCACAGACCCACAGAAAAATCATTTGGGGGCTGCACACAAGTGAGAAGCAAAAGACCCCCCCCAAAAAAAAAAACCCCCGACCTGATATGGCCCACATTTCCCCCCTCATACACCAGAGTCTGTAGGGAAGCCACTTACCCTAAGAGCGGGTTAAAAAAACCTGTCAGAAATTATCTAAATTAGGGGTGGACAATAAGCGGCCCCAGAGCCAGATCTGATTCACTGTTCCTGGCCAACAGGAGCTGCTGGAAGTGGTGGGCCACTCCCTGCAGCTCCCATTGGGAATGGTGACTGCTGCCAACAGGAACTGTGAGCGGCCATACCTGTAAATAACAAGTAAATAACATGTCTGGAAACTCACCAGGGCAAGCCCTGGCAAATTGCATCCAGCCTGCGGGCTTCTTATTGCCTGCCCTGGTCTAGATAATACTTAGTCTTGCCATGAGTGCAGAGGACTGGACTAGAAGACCTCTCAAGGTCCTTTCCAGTCCTATGATTTTCTGTTTGTACACGGGCTTGTCTTCTGGTCACTAAACTGATACTCTGAATAGGTTAGTAGTGCAAGTGCTAAAGATGTTTTCTGTTTTTCCCCTTTATGTTCAGTTGATCATGGGCTTGCTCGTTTAGTAACTGCATACTGTGAACATGGCCACAAAGCTGCCAAAATTAATCCCTTGTTTGCTGGCCAAGCTGTGATGGATATGGTACCTGAAATTCGAGTGCTGACAGAAGTGCTTCAGGGACCTTTCAATATTACAGGTAAGTCTAGTTCCTAGTGAATAGCTGACTTAGGCTGTGTTTGGAATATCTCAGACAAAGGAAATGGTTAAGCTTGTTTTTCCAGTAGGATGAAAATGAGGTATTACTGCAACATTACTATGGCAAACTGACTTCATGTTTTTTGTAAGGCTGAGGAATTTTAAGGGCTGTGGATATTGGGGAGAAAATTGTCAGTATTAATCACTGCTGAAACTGCAATAACACCTTTAACTGAGGGAGGTTTCTAGCAGCAAGTGCTGGTAAAGGTATGGTCATGCTTAGTACCTAGGGATGCCAATGCATATTCGACTATACAATTAACCGATAAACCTAGGCTTATCAGTTAATCTTGTTGACAACACACATTTCACACCCTCCCTTGCTGCCTCTCTATTTGCAAGGTGAGGGGGGCTGGCTTAAAAGCCGGTTTTTCCCCAGCATGGGCTCTATGATGCCAGAGTGCCCTTCAGACAGAGGCTGCTCTACAACTTGCAGAGCAGGATCTGTCTATGGGGAGCTCAGACAGCCTACAGACAGGGTCTGTTGCTGCTTCTGTATCAGTACAGAATTCTCAGTACAACACAGGAATTCATTGAAGGGGCCTTTGCACATTAGCTCTATATTACCTAATCAAAGGCTAGCTGTAGTGATTAATTTGGAAATAAGTGCTCCACTAGCTCTTCAGTTTCTGCTCCCTTAGGCATTCAGAATCATACCTACTTCTCACTAATCATTTACTCATTCCTTAAAAAGTTCTTATCCTAAATTCCTGGTGGCTGCTGCTTCAGAACTAGTCCCATTTAGCTGGCCAAACAGACACATTGTTCAAGCCAACTAGCCACATTCAACCGGCGAAATAGCCACATTTGGCTAGTGGCTAGCATGTTGGACACAAGGTCCGAAATGATAGCTTGAATTGCTTTTATGGAAGAATTAGGTAGTTCTTGGGGATGAAAACATATATCTTGTCATCTAAATACAAATTCTTCTAGTATGCCAGTGATTGTGGCAGCAGAGTGACTAGCTTATATTATTTCCTGAAACATCATCATAACTCAAGTAGGGATGTCACCATGTAGATGACTACATGAGTAACCGATAAGCCCAGGCCTATTCTGTCGACTACACACATTTCGCTCTTGCTGCCTCTGTATTAGCTGGCTCTCCGCGCATGCTGGCTCTGCAGATCTGCCTGCCTCCCCTTCCTGCCTCCTACTGGGGGAGGCAGGAGCCAGCTTAAAACTCCAAGTATCACAGCGATAGCCGTGTTAGTCTGAATCTGCAAAAGTGGCGAAGAGTCCTGTGGCACCTTATAGACTAACTGAAGTGTAGGAGCATAAGCTTCCATGGCAGCAGCCCTTGTCTGACCACAGGGAGCTCAGACAATTTGCAAAGGCTGCTTCTGCATCCCACCGAGCAGTCTCTGTCCACAGGGAGTTCGGCCCCCACACAGACGGGCTGTTGCCACTCTGTGCTGCTGCTTCTATCAGAGGCAGCAGCGTGGGGCAGCAGGCAGGAGCTGATCTGTACAGGAAGTTGGTTTTTAAACGTAACAAAGACAAGAAATAGATTACAGTAATATACGTACCATCCTTTGGAAGGCTTTCACATACATCTGAATGATAAGTGCAACAAAAGTCTTCAATATTTTAATACTGTAGTGGTTTATAACTTCTTGAGAATTTTATAACTTGAGAATTTTACCTTCAAATGAATGAGTAAATGGACAGGAAATGAAATTGTTAATGAATATATATTTTATTTGTCATCCCAGGGCTCCTGAACATGGGAAAGGAAGAGGCTTCTTTAGAGGATGTGTTGAGTTACCTTGACCATGTGTATTGTGGACATATTTCTATAGAAACTAGTCAGCTGCCAAGCTTGGAGGAAAGAGAATGGTTTCCTAAAAGATTTGAGCAATTAAAACAAGAGTTGTTTACGACAGAAGAGCGAAAGCATTTGTGTAAGCTGATGCTAGAATCTCAGGTACATTGCATATCTTCACTATTTATATAGCCATAGTGCCTATGGTCTTCAGTCATGGGCCAGGACCCATTGGGTTAGGCACTATGTGGGCCTTGCCGGAGCCTTAGGCATAAACTATCAGTATGAACTAAAAATCTGTGAATTAGAGCAGGCATGACCTTGGTGGAATAGTAACACTGAAGGTGTCAGTTCACCAAGTAAGTATATTTCTGACAAGAGAACATGGTACTAAAACATGCTGATTTCTTGGTCAACTACATACACTCATTCCATGGGTAGTAATTCCATGCACTAATAACAAAAATATAGCAGTAAGGATATATTATTGATAACCTGACCAGGTTAGTGATAGTGACTATGAAATGCTAAGTGAGATTAAACAGGCTATCAAAATAAAAAACTGTGTTTTAAGTACATCAGAAGCAGGAAGCCTGCTAAACAACCAGTGGGGCCTCTGGATGAGCAAAATGCCAAAGCAGCACTCAAAGACAATAATGTCATTGCAGAGAAACTAAATGAATTCTTTGATTTGGTCTTCGCAGCTGAGGAAAAAACAAAAGACAGTACTATGCAGCACTTTAAAGACTAACAAGATGGTTTACGGCTGCATCTCTATCATTATTCTACAGCTGATGATGTTAGAGAGATTCCCAAACCTGAGCCATTCTTTTTAGGTGACAAATCTGAGGAATTGTCCCAGATTGAGGTGTCATTAGAGGAGGTTTCTGAACAAATTGATAGACTTGTTGAACCACATCGGCTTCCGTACCTAATGACTGGAAGGTAGCCAACGTGACACTAATATTTAAAAAGGGCTCTAGAGGCGATCCTGGCAATTACAGACCGGTAAGTCTAACTTCAGTACCGGGCAAATTAGTCAAAACAATAGTAAAGAATAAAATTGTAAAGCATGTAGAAGAACATAATTTGTTGGACAAAAGTCAACATGGTTTCTGTAAAGGGAAATCCTGTCTTACTAATCTATTAGAGTTCTGCGAAGGGGTTAACAAACATGCGGAGAAGTGGGATCCAGTAGATATAGTATACTTGGATTTTCAGAAAGCCTTTGACAAGGTCCCTCACCAAAGGCTCTTGTGTAAATTACATGGCCATGGGATAAGAGGGAAGGTCCTTTCTTGGATTGAGAACTGGTTAAAAGACAAGAAACAAAGGGTAGGAATAAATGGTAAATTTTCAGATTGGAGAGGGGTAACTAGTGGTGTACCCCAAGGATCAGTCCTGGGACCAATCCTTTTCAACTTATTCATAAATGATCTGGAGAAAGGGGTAAGCAGTGAGGTAGTAAAGTTTGCAGATGATACCAAACTGTTTAGGATAGTCAAGACAGAAGCAGACTGTGAGGGACTCCAAGAAGATCTCACCAAACTGAGTGATTGGGCAACAAAATGGCAAATGAAATTTAATGTGGATAAGTGTAAAGTAATGCACATCGGGAAAAATAACCCCAACTATACGTACAGTATGATGGGGGCTAATTTGGCTACGACAAATCAGGAAAGAGATCTTGGAGTTATCGTGGACAGTTCTCTGAAAACTTCCACACAGTGTGCAGCGGCGGTCAAAAAGGCAAATAGGATGCTAGGAATTATTAGGAAAGGGATAGAAAATAAGACCCAGAATATCTTACTGCCCCTGTATAAAACTATGGTACGCCCACATCTTGAATACCGTGTACAGATGTGGACTCCTCATCTCAAAAAAGATATTTTGGTCTTGGAAAGGGTTCAGAAAAGGGCAACTAAAATGATTAGGGGTTTGGAACAGGTCCCATATGAGGAGAGGTTAAAGCGACTGTGACTCTTCAGTTTAGAAAAGAGGAGACTGAGGGGGGATATGATAGAGGTATATAAAACCATGAGTGGTGTGAAGAGGGCCGATAAAGAAAAGTTATTTATTAGTTCCTTAAATAGAAGAACTAGAGGACACAAATGAAATTAATGGGGAGCAGGTTTAAAACGAATAAAAGAAAGTTCTTCTTCATACAGCGTGTAGTCAACCTGTGGAACTCCTTCCCAGAGGAGGCTGTGAAGGCTAGGACTATAACAGAGTTTAAAGAGACGCTAGATAATTTCATGGAGGTTAGGTCCATAAAAGGCTATTAGCCAGGGGATAAAATGGCGTCCTTGGCCTCTGTTTGTCAGAGGCTGGAGAGGGATGGCAGGAGACAAATTTCTTGATCATTGTCTTCGGTCCACCCTCTCTGGGGCACCTGGTGCTGGCCACTGTTGGCAGACAGGATACTGGGTTAGATGGACCTTTGGTCTGACCCAGTATGGCTGTTCTTATGTTCTTAACTGTAACAAGTCACCTTGGGTGAATGCCTTCTGGTCCCGAACTGTAATGTGAAATTGTGGAGCTATTAACTGTGGTTTGCAACCTATCCTTTAAATCAGCTTCTGTACCTAATGATTGGTGTCACATTAGCTATCTTCCAATATTTTAAAAGGGCTCTAGAGGTTCTTAGCAATTACAGACCAGTAAGTCTAACATCAGTACTGGGCAAATTACCATAAATTAGTGCATATAACCCATGTACAAGTATTACCAGCACCTGAGTATAACTCACGGTTTTCCCCGATTGAGTAAAAAAAGGTCTTGTATACCCCATGTACATGTATGGACCGTGAGAGGTGGACTGCAGGTAATGTTAATGCAAAGCACCTGTAATCAAGTGTTAATGAACCACTAAGTAGGCTACAACCCTTATTGCTGGTATATAACCCCTTCCATTCATTTAATCCTTCAGTGTTTTTAACTTGTATTTTAAACTTTAAACTTTTATTCTTTTACTAGTTGCACAGTAAATTAATGAATTTTAATGTACTTTAATGAATTTTAATATAACTGCCTCTTATTAAATTAAAATATGCTGCTTTTCTCAAGTAAGAGTCAGTCTTCTCTTCCTTTCAGTAAAAAAACCCTCCTGTATTACACACGGACGAGTATGGTAGGGGGGGGGAGGCGGCGAGGTATGTAAAACTTTGTATAACCCATGGGTTATATTCGCTAAAGTACAGTAGTTGAAACTAAATAGAATAGTCAGACACACAGATGAACATAATTTGTTGAGGAAGGTCAACATGGTTTTTCGAAAGAGAAATCATGCCTTATTAATCTACTAGACACCTCCCCCTTTGAGGGGAGTCAACAAGCATGTGGACAAGGAGGATCCAGTAGATATAGTGTACTTAGATTTCCAGAAAGCCTTTGAGAAGGTCCCTCACCAAAGACTCGTAAAGTAAGTTGTCATGGGATAAGGGGGAAGGTCCTCTCATAGACTGATAACTGGTTAAGACAGGAAAGAAAGGGTAGAAATAAATGATAAGTTTTCAGAATGGAGAGAGGTAACCAGTGGTTTCCCTCAAGGGTCTGTACTGGGACCAATCCTATTCAATCTATTTATAAATGATCTGGAGAAAGGGGTAAACAGAGAAGTGGCAAAATTTTCAGATGATACTAAAAAGCTCAAGATAGTTAAGAACAAAGCAGTCCGTGAAGAGCTTCAAAAGGATCTCACAAAACTAAGTGATTGGGCAACAAAATGGCAAATTAAATTTAACGTTGATAAATGTAAAGTAATGCCTATTGGGGGGGGAAAAATCCCAAATATGCATACAATATAATGGAGACTAATTTAGCTATAACTACTCCAGAGAAGATCTTAGGAGTCATTGTGGATAGGTCTCTGAAAACATCCACTCAACATGCTAGTGGCAGTCAAAAAAAGCAAATAATGTTAGGAATCATTTAAAAAGGGATAAAAAATAAGACTGAGGATATCTTATTGCCTTTGTATAAAACGATGGTACACCCACATCTTGAATACTGAATATAGATATGGTTGCCTCATCTCAAAAAAGATACCTTGGCATTGGAAAAGGTTCAGAAAGGGGAACAAAAATGATTAGGGGTTTGGAACGGGTCCCATCTGAGGAGAGATTAAAAAGACTGGGACTTTTCAGCTTAGCAAAGAGGAGACTAACAGGGTAAATCATGACTGGTATGGAGAAAGTGAATAAGGAAAAGTTATTGACTTGTTCCCATAACATAAGGACTAGTGGTCACCAAATGAAATTAATAGGTAGCAGGTTTAAAACAAACAAAAGGAAGTTTTTCTTCACACACTGCACAGTCAACCTGTGGAACTCCTTGCCAGAGGATGTTGTGAAGACCAGGAATTGAAAAGGGTTCAAGAAAGAGCTAGATAAATTCATGGAGGTTAGGTCCATTGATGGCTGTTTACCATGATAGGTAGGAATGGTGTTCCTGTTGGAGGCTGGGTATGGATGACAAGAGAAGGATCGCTTGATGATTCCCTGTACTGTTCACTCCCTCAGGGGCCAATGGCAGATGCCCTAGTTGAAAGACAGAGTACTGGGCTAGATGAACCTTTGGTTTGACCCAGTATGGTTGTTCTTATGTTCTAAGATCTGGCACAGGAGCAAACTGATCCCTCATAAATGTGAAAAGGTGATGACAGGCAGATTTTCCTTTAAGATTTTCTATCCATGAGTGGAGTAAGTTTTATCTCGTGCACCAACATTGAGGTCATATACACTTGTTCACATGTGTGCCACTGTGGCACTCAAGTTAACAAATACCTTGTATATATTCTTAAAAAATGTTATGGAAGAAAGCATACTAAAACGAAGGATAATTCACAAGGTGCATGACTTAAAATGTTTTTGGATATATAGTCAATTAAAAAGAAAATTAATATTGTAAAATTTTCATTAGCCAACTTCCTCTGTTTATAGCCGTCTCCCAGGCCCTCCCCCAGCTGGATTAGATGATCTGTTGGGGTCCATTATGGTTAAACGTGCTTGGATCCCATGCTGAGGTGTCATTGCTGTATTGAAAATAAGACAAAGAATAGCTTATTGTCTCTATATAAATCCATAGTATAACTCCTAAGATTGCTGAATTCCACATTTCAACCTCTAGACACACTAGGCCAGAGTTGGAATTATAACTTCATTTGTTAGTGCTGCTCATATAGTGTGAAGGATTCAGATTCTGTGTGGCCTCTCAAATTTCACTCTGATATCAGGTTTGTTTCCCCATGCCCAGTCTCTGCACAGCTCCTACTCCTCTCCATATGTAAGCAAAGGCGCACAGAAAGGAGATAAGGAAATGCGTGGGAAATAGGCAAGGGATGAGGGAGGGCGTATATTATCACTATGATGGGATGATGCAATGTACTTTTGTATGGAGCAAAACAGATGCTGGGAGGAATTTGGGACTCAGAAGGATCTATTAAGAATTTCTTCTCGGGCCTGAGTAAGAGGTGGGGCATGGATGCACCACCACATGAAGAGCTTTAGAAAAATCAGGCACCCAGAAACACAACTCTTCTCTGGACCTCTTCTGGGGACAACAGAGCTATACCCAGCCCCTACTCAGTAGTTGAGGCAACTCGATATAGCTGAAAATAAAATGAGTGGCAATGGTATTTCAGTGACATCTTTGTGACTCCTAATGGAACAGCTTTATCAGACAATTAGGAAATAGAAAAGTAGACCAATGCAAAAAGTTAAAAATAATATTTTAAGCGTGACATTTTCTTAAAGAGAAACTTGAGAACTAACATTTGTTTTTGAGGATTAGATATTGTGGCGGAGAGATCTTCTTTAAAAGTGATGTGTTTATTTTGGTCTTAAATCTGTCTTCTGAACCATAATCCCCATTTCAATGGGTATTTTGGAGTCTGCGGATTTTTGCTGAATATTTGGAAACTTTTAAAATGAGGTGGAATATAGAAAGCATTAGAAAACTTTTACATGTTAAAAATGTTCACAAGGAAAGTGTTACTTATTTGTCATGGAGTAGGAGGGATTATAATATAGCTCTTTTTGTGGGATTTCTACCAATACTTTTCATAATAACTGATCCCCAGCAGAGACAACCTCACTGCGCCTCACCTCCTGCTGCAGCACACCAGGACAACTGCCCACCACAAGGCCCCACCAGCTGGGCCACGTGGCTGCTGGCCAAGTTGGAACTGGGGCTGTGGTGAGGCTGCTCCAGACGGGACAGCATCACTGTGCAGCTCCAGCCAGAACACATGAGGCAGTCACCTGCCATGCGGCCCCAGTAGAGATGTGAGCAACTAGTAGTTGCTTCCTCCCAACCCTTGCTGCCTATGTCAGAGAGGCAACAAGGAGGGGGGCAGGATCCAGTGCTGGGGGGAGCTGGCTTAAAATCTGGTTCCCCCCACCACCATCCCTGAAGGGAGAAGGGGCAAGGGCGCAGCCAGGAACTCGAGGTGCTTCCACCTCTGTTCTTGCTACATTTCAAACCAGAAGTGCTGTGGGGCGCCTGGGGTGAGGTGGGGACTCTCAATCCTCCGCTGGACCTGCGCTCCCAGCAGTGCTTTGCTTTTAAAATATACAAGAGTTATCCTGGGGCTCTTGTACATTTCAAAAGCAGGGAGCGTGGGGCTGCTTCTGCCTTTGAAATAGAGCAAGAGTCGTCTGGGCTCTTGCTACATTTCAAAGGTAGAAGCACCCTTATTGACTAATTGAATAGTCAACGCAAATTACATTGACTATTTGATTAATCAATTAATCTAAATTTAACATCCTTAGGCCACATGGCAGGAATCTGCTGCACTACTCACCTTCCAGCAGCAAAGCAAGTGTTGCTGCCTGCCTCTGCAAAAGAGGTTGGGCAGAGAATTTTTTATGCGTGGTCACGCAGGCACGCACCTTACAGGGAACTACGATGACAGGATAATAGATTGAATAAAGCATCCTATTATCAAACTAGTAGATACAAGGGGCTAGTATTTAACAATCTCTGGAGTGTAATAAATAGCTAGTTTCCTTTAGTGTATAAAAAAAGAATTTATAGCAAGGGCTCTTTATACTGTTCTAGGGAACAGCATCCTGGTGTGTTGATAGAACGGGTATCTTGTTGCAGGCATGTGTGTTGTTTAATGTACGTATGCCCCTAATATTCCATAGGAGCTATGCATTGTTGATGATAAACTTGAGCTCCCTTGCCACTGAACCAAGCCTGTGGGCTTTATGTAACATTAAGGTGTGCTGTGTCAACTTGCTGCATTCTTTGCTACTGCAGCTGACACCAGAGCTCTAGGAATAGCAACCCTAGCTGCATTAACAGCACTGTAGTATCAGCAGTACTCCTCAGCATTGATAACACACTACCATTGCAGAGGGAAAAGATATAAAAACAAATCAATGCCTCCCAGAACACACTAGAGGTACCTCCCTGGTCTGGCACCCTCGGGACCTAACCAGTCCCAGATGAGAGATTTTGCTAGATCTGGGAGCTTATATCTGGCCCTCCCTGCTACCAACCCTTCCAGCCCCGCTGCTCTGTTGGTCCAGCCTTCTCTTGCCTGCTACACCAGGCAGCCCAGCTCTAGGCCAGTTGCTGATGCACAGGGACATGCTGGTCCTGGAACATCTATGGTCCTGCCAAAGAGATGTTGCTAGACCAGAGAGTCCCAATTTACAAGAGGTTCAACCTGTACCTGATTACCTTATAGTTTAAATGTGGGTGGGTTTGAAATGGGCAAGATCTGAGTTTTAAATGATATGGAATAGAAACAAAATAATTGTTGTTTGAGAGAGTTGTTCACATTAAGTGCAGCAATAATTTTTAAATGAAAAGCGCAGTGCTTTACTCTGTTGTTTTTTAGGAAATAATTTAACAAGGAAAATGTGTCTAAATTCTAGATCAAAAGGGCAGCTTCAGCAAAAAGGGAGACCTCGATGTAGCATGTTTGGAATCAAATAATTTCACAGGAACATGCTGCATTTCTTCTTCCAATGATTCAGTTGAGGATCAGGCAGCTTGTAAAAAGAAATGCTCTCAGGCTGGTGGTCTGATGACCTTGTATAAACCTTTGTTTCTTGGGAAACAATGAGGTATTGTTCTCAAGGAGATTTCAAGCACCCTTTCTATCTGCACTGTTCCCCCTCACCATGAGTTTCTAGTCACAGTCCCTCTCAACAAGGAACATTCAGGAGGGAAACTCTTTATTCTGAGAGCAGAGTAGGTTAATAGGGACATAGGAGCATGTTGCTCTGGTGAAGTAGCTGTTTGGCACTGGAGCTTGGGCTTCATTCCCAGTGCTTTCTATAAGTCACTGTGAAAGACCTTTCCTATGGCCCTTATATGGTGCATGGGCTGAGTGTTTTGGAGGATGCTCATCCCGGAATGGGCAAACTAGATGAGTGAGTGGGCTGCCTGAGTGGTCCTCTTTCATCTCAGTGGGCCACAAGATTGTCGTAACCAAGATGGTTTCCCAGAATTAACAAAACTACCCTGATAGTGCTTGAGTACTGCGAATTTGTGGGATGTACTGATTGAACGCTTTGATTGGATACAGAGGGAGCACATGGCTCTCAGTCAATGTTGTGTGCAACTAGCACCCACCTCATTTCACATGCCCTTGCTTTACGGTCGTGTCGTTTTAACAACACTGATTGATTGATAGGGGAAAAAACGTTGCAAGTGGAAACCAGCAGAATCTGTTAGTTCTGCACCTGGGCAGTGGTTAACAAAATGTCTCGTGGGCACACTAGAATCCTGATGGGTTGCATGTGCCCCTTGAGCCACAGGTTGCCCATCATTACTTCAACCAACTATTTCCATAATGTGGTAAACACTGCAGGGATTTTTAACACTTTAAGGTTTCTCCCACAACTTTGCACAAAACTAGTGAGGGGAAAAACTAGATGTAGTATTGAGTGTCTTCTCTCTCCTTGCATCTCAACAGTAAGATTAAGGGCCTTTAATAATAATCAAAAATATATTGCACATTGGATCTGAAAATCTTTAAGGGGTTTATGAATTCTGATCAACTAGGCTTCCTGAATACCTTGTGAAATAAGTAATTAGTAACACCATTTACAGACTGAATAAATTGACTCTGCCTCCCTCCACATTGTGTCATGTTCTTGCTGATCACTTATTTGATCTTAGATGTAGCTTTTGGTACTAGATTGGATATGGTGCTTGTAGGATGGTCTTGCTGAGGTGAGCTAGAGTTTTTTACATTTATTCTCTGCGTAAGATTGTGTAACTGATGCTTTAATAGGAAGTAAAATATTGTGTTAAATGCCTTGAACAGTAATTCCTCATTTAACACGTGCCCACTTAACACATTTTCGCAATAGCACGATTTTTTTTTAGGGAATGTTTTTTGAATTACACAACCATCCCTGGAAAACACGATTTCCTCAGCCATTCCGTTGCCAATGTCTGCGTGGGGCTTCCCCCGCCTACCTGCAAAGTGGCAGAGGATTCACCGCTCGCCACACCTTTCCCTGGTGATGCACACACGCACCCCACCACCCTGTCGCCGGACACAGTGCGGGTCCCAACAGACCCATCACAGGGGCATACTCCCAACCCAATACCCCTTCCCTCCCCTCCCGTTTCTGAGAGCCAAACACCTCCCCTCCCTGCTGTAACCCAGTCCCCTTTCTCCCCCAACCTTGTGTCCCGGTCCCAACAGACACCACCACTTGAAACGCAACCCCCACCTTTTCCATTATTTTCAATGGGAAAATTGACTCTGCATAACACGTTTTCACTTAACATGATCATTTTCTGAAACATATCTATAGTGTTAAATGAGGAATTACTGTAGTTATATTCTGTTTCCTATCAGGAGTTTGACCGCTTCTTGGCCACCAAGTTCTCCACAGTGAAACGGTACAGTGGTGAAGGAGCAGAGAGCATGATGGGTTTTTTCCACGAGTTGTTAAAGATGTGTGTGTACAGTGGCGTGACAGATATCATTCTTGGAATGCCTCATCGAGGAAGGCTTAATCTCCTCACTGGGCTGCTTCAGTTTCCACCTGAGGTAAGGGACAGATTGTCTCACTAGCAGTGGTTTGCTGTTTACGCAGATATTTGTGTACAGGTAATTAGTTTGACAAGAAAATATCTCATTGCTGACGCTTGAGTACAAAGTGATAAATTGACCGATGTGAGCGCATATTTATTTCTTCCTGCAATGGGCTCTGAAGTTCCTTCCATAAAAATGGTTAGATAATTGCAACAAAAGGGCTTAAGTGGTAGTGTACAAAGGATTACAAGATTTCATTCACCCAGTGTGCAACTTAAAACAAAGCCATCTCCAAAATGTGTGGCATAAATACAAACCATGCTTCCAATGCATTGTGTAACAAATCTTATTTCTCTGCAGCTGATGTTCCGTAAAATGCGTGGCTTAAGTGAGTTTCCTGAGAATTCACCAGCGATTGGGGATGTTCTGTCCCATCTGACATCCTCTGTAGATCTGGACTTTGGTTCGCACCGCCCTCTGCATGTCACTATGTTGCCTAATCCATCACATCTTGAAGCAATTAATCCTGTGGCTGTTGGCAAAACACGTGGAAGGCAACAGTCTCTTCTTGAGGGAGATTACTCGCCAGACAGCACTGCACAACCTGGAGACAAAGTCATCTGCTTGCAGGTACTTACCAAATTCAGTAACACATTTTCCTAAATGGGAGTGTGAAAAATTATACTTGGTGTAAAGTTTGTCAATTCGAGAAAAGGAGAAGAGTTAGGTTTATTCACTATTTAGAAAAAGGGAGATAGTGTACTTGGCGTTGTTTTTAAGAATTTTGCTTTTAAGCTTTCCAAGCCAATGATCTCTTTCTGGAGGTTTTTCTAGTACTCTTTCTGCTAGTAAGAATGCTGCTTTGAAAGCTGTACACGTGTTTTCCCTAATGGCCATTTTGGACTTTAAGCTATTAAGCTAACCCATTGTTCCTAGTCAGGGTGATTAGTGCTTGCAGTCTTTCAGCGTCTGAAACAAGTCATTAGAGGAAAAATGAACAGACATTGTCAAGTGTATTAGCCATTGAAGTATGTGGCTATGGTGAGGAGAGTGGGGTGTCACTGTATTGTCCACGGGGTTCTCTTCAGAACTGCATCAAAATTATGAAAAAAACCTCTAAACTTAGATTTTTTTTTTCTCAGTTTAGGACTCCTCAACAGAATGGAGAACTCACTTCTAATTTCTAGAAATCTAAGAATTAAGTAGGGAACTGAGGAAGAACCATTTCCTGCCAAGAGTAATGAACAGGAGGACATTAGTGAGGAAATAATTGGAATTAAATGAATGATTGTTTGCTTCTGGAGAGGGAGGTTGGTGGAATGTTGGAAAGAAACAGAAAAGAGAGGTTAAGATAACGAAAAACGTTTCTGTTGGGACTGGATAACCTCATTCATGTTGCCAACAGAATAGAGCAGGTTTTTTGCATTTGTTCAACTTACCATGTGTGTTTAAAATAGGAAACTTCTTTCTTATATTTTATTTGGTGAGACATTTTGGTGAGAGCGAACTTGCTAGCATATTGTTCCCCTAGCATTAGCCAGTGATCACTCTAGTGTGAGGTTTCCAAATTGAATCATGTAACCTTCCCCCTTTCCCCCCCTCATGTTCTGGAAAACTGGCTACACTCTGTGCTGTACTGGATTGACAAAAATTGCACTTTTACCTGGAGTTTAGAGAGGATGTTGAAAACTTTTTGTATGGCTTTTTTGAGACCTTTTCTTGAGGACAGGGAGGCAAATCCCCGTCCCCCCCAAACTTATGCATGTTTAATTTTTTCCCCTTCTGTAAAACAAAGGGGTTCAGAGAGCAATCAGTGCCTGTTTGTAGAGTTTTGTGTATGTGTGCTGAGTTGACCTAGTGTTGCTCTCTGATCTTTTATTCACCACTGTTTAACACAAGTCAATTTCCCTGTGTGAAATTACTGTCAGACTTCAAATAGCTTTGGTATATTGATGATTGTGTGATGTTTTAGCAAGGGGCTGGGCTACGCACTAAAAAGAGAGTGATCATAGGATTACAGTGGTTATCAATCGGAGACAAAACAGTCAGTCAAAAAAGAAAATAGGTATAAAAAGCTCTTATTCGTTCATAGTTTTGGCCTTGCCTCACTTCAGGATTTTGTTGCACAGCACCTTGCATGTCATTTCCTCTCCCCAGTGATAAATGTAGAAAGCCTCAAGAACTATAGTTCTCTTTGCTCAGTTGCTTTTGGCAAGAGACAACATTATTGGCATGGCAATTGGCAACAGGCTCCTTCTCTGTTTTATGGCTGGTTATTGATGGTGAAAGGGAAGCAGTACAGCTGAAATGGCAGTGAGACTAACAATGAATCCAGTTCTCCAAGTACTCTAAATGGTACATCTTCACACAATTTTTAGAATGAATTCTATATCCCAAGATTGTAAAAACAGTTCATATGGGAAATAGGGAGGTAAGAGTTTAATTGGCACTAGTTAAACTTTTCACGGGGCTACCGGCATTCCCCCCCCCCGGGAGCTGTGATTAACCTTGTAACTGATAGAAATTTTATCAGTTACCAGGTTAATAATTTTTTACATCCCTAATGAGAGCTAAACACCTGAAATAGCCCCAGTACTCTATCTCTTATGCCTGAGAGTTATTGGTATTTCATCTCATAATCCTTGACTCCCCCTTTCATTGATGCATGCTCTTCATAGTCCGTAAATATGGTCTCCTGATGTGTATTTCATTTCAATATCATACAGACCATGGGATAAGAGAGGTGGGATAAGTCAAGTGATGTACCATTAGCCTACTGGGGTAACCTGTGGTATTGTTCTCAAAATATTATTTTAAATGGTAAATTCCTGTATGTAGTGGAAGACCATAAAACTAGCTATTACTAACATCACTTCAGCTGTAGTGTGGGCAGGTCAGGAAGCACCTGGAAAGACCAGCTACAGGAAATGAGAACTGGACTACATGGGCCACATCTGCTCTGGTGTGGGAATTTGTTAGCATTATTGTGGACTTTTAGATATAAATGCCAGTCTTTGCTATGTATATGTTGACTTAAGTGGCTTCGGCATGGCCTATGTGTCTTGCAACGTCTGTCCATTTATGTTTTGTTTTGTGTCAAACACAACAGAAGGAAATATCTGACATGCAGGACATTCTGGTTTTTTAAAACTTAAAAATATTAAAGGTTTAAAATAAACAACGACAAAAAAGTCACCTAAAAGTTGCCATTGATAAAATAATTAATAATCTTGATGTTTCTCTATTGCGAGCAAGTGGTATGAGCACAAGTCTAATCTAGAGCTGCCATTGACTCCTCTTACCTTGAGCAAGGCATGTGTAGTCTGACTTTCAGTAGCACTGAGCACCCCAGCTTTTTACTGTGGATTTCTCAGCATCTCTGAAAATCAGTTTGTTAGCCTCTGTGTGCCGAAGGTTCTCCTTCTCCCAAGTAGGAGTTGCCTGTTGTGAGGTTTTAATTAGAAGACTTCTATGAAAGTGTTCGGTGACTACCATGGAAGAAAAAAAGATTTCAGTCTGTTTTTAAATCCTAATTAAAGCAATTAAGCATCAGCCAACATTTGATTTTATTTATCTTTTCTTCCTCAAATATAATATGAAGGCAGCCAGAAAATCCTATGCTATAATGCTGGGTGTTCTACAATGTTCCCTCTAATCTTTTCCATTCATATGCAGATTTTTTCCGTCTATGTTCAAAACAAATTTTTTATGTACACTGAGATTTGTGGGCGCACCACCAGTAGAATCATAACACTTAGCTTTGGGTACTCTACTAATCAGCTGGGTGGCATTGGAATCTCTCCTGAGTGGCTGTAAAAGCTCACAAGGAACACTGATTCAGAGTCATAGGTTTCTGTGGAAGGCCCTTGTTAAAATATTAGCATCAAATCATTGAGTATAACTTGGTTTAGTCTTTAGTTGAAAACCAAGATTATTAAGTAACTTGAGTGAGTGAGTGATTGTTTTATCACAAGTTTTGCTGTACCTTTTTTCCTTGTAATAAAATATCTTAATTGGACTTGAAGATCCATGAAACTTTTTCTTGAAGAGACCCAGCCATGACCTTTCATTCTAACTGATTACTGGGAGGGGAAGGCCTGAGTGTAGAGAGGACTTAAGTTCTCAAGTATCAAATGTCCTATAACCTTTATGTGCTGAGTTCTGAGGAGTCTTCCATAGTGGGAGGATACCAGAGCATTGGCAGACAAGCTTTTTCAGTTGCTTTAATGTGTTTATTGGAATGAAGTTGGTCTGTTGAATGGGTCCATGTCAAATGGAGGGTTTTGGAGAGCAGCATAAAAGCTGGAGTGAGACATTAACTGCTTTCAGATATGCCAGAAATTTTGCCATGGCTCATTTCTAGATGTGCATGGAAACGTCCTTATGCTTATAAGAAGCTCATGGGATTTTTTTGGGGGGAAAAGACAATAAATACATCAAGTTTATTACAAATACAGCATAGAAATCAGCACAAACACGCGCGCACACATCTCTGCAGATGATGTCATAGTTACCAGTCTTTTGGTGCTCATGCCAGCCTAGTGACCAGTTGGCTGGGCATGGGGAAGGAGTAGGTTTCTGTTCAATACTCTGAGGTATTGCAGGAGTGAATCCAATGCCTTCATGTCGACCATCTATCCAAGTTTCCTGTCTGTTGATAGTGGCCAATGCCAGGTGCTCTGAGAGAGTGAACAGAAACAAGTAATCATCAAGTGATCCCTCTCCTGTCGTCCATTTTCAGGCCCTTGGCAAACAGAGGCTAGGGACACCATTCTTACCCATTCTGGCTAAGTAGTATTGATAGGCTTAATCTCCATGAATTTATCTAGGTTTTTTTTGAACCCTGTTAAAGTCCTGATCTTCACAACATCCTCTGGCAAGGAGTTCCACGGGTTGACTGTGTACTGCATGAAGTTTCTCTGAGTGTTATTTTAACAGGCAAGTTAATTTTGCTTTCATAACTATGATGTAGTTTATCACTGTGTGGTAGTATGAAAAACAACTAGGTTAACTTGGTAAGTAACTAGGCAGTTAGGAAGCATTACAGATTGCTTACAATAAACTTGATATGCTCAATCTTTTTACCTTTTATTCGTTAAAGCAACCGAGTTACTCGTTTGCTTATAACAGTGGGTTTTAAATACTTAATTGAAATATAGTGATGAAATTCATATTTAGGTTGTATAACATTTATTTCCCTTGTGTTTTATAAAACTTACATATTTTAAGCATTTGACATTTTTTATGTAAAAGACATGAACCTAATGAGGATGGGATATGAACTAATTAAAGAGGAAAAGATTAGTTAATAGAATGTAAACCACAAAAACTATAATTTATATTTGTCTGTAGCTACGATCTACTAAATGATCTCAGTATCAGTGGATAATAGTAGTATTTTTTTTAACGTTCTTATTTTTTGCTGGCTTAGAAATACATAACAGATACATAGTAACAAATGATTGGGGGAGCGCAAATTTTGCCTTTTCCCCCACGTGCATAACACTCTCGCTATGCCTCTGAATGATGCCTTTTTAATCTCTCACTGCTTCTTAATTGTTAAGCCACAGTTGCACTTCAAAAAACACAGTAAGAAAACCAATAATTTGGGCTTTTATTATGAAAAGTCTGCATGTAGCTTGCAGGGATTTTACTTTTGGCATTGTACCTTTATTTTCTGTTTAACTAAGTTACTCATTTTTGTGTAGTTCACCTTTGTGAAATTAAGTGCCAGTGTTGAGCTGCTGAGGTGTTTTTTCCACCACAGGCATGTTAAATTTTATTACATTTTGGTCACTACTTCCAAGCGGTTGTATTACATTTATCTCTTGGACCAGATCTTGTGCTCCCCTTAGGACTAAATCAGGAATTGCCTCTCCTCTTGTGGGCTCAAGAACCAGTTGCTCCACGAAACAGTCATTTAAGGTGTCAAGAAACTTTATCTCTGCATCCTGTCCTGAGGTTACGTGTACCCAGTCAATATGAGGATAGTTGAAATTCTCCATTATTATTTTTTTAATTTTGATAGCTTCTTTAATCTCCCTTAGCATTTCATAGTCACTGTCACTATCCTGGTCAGCTTTATGAAACAAAATCTATATACAGTCAGTCCCCGAGTTACGCGGATCCGACTTATGTCGGATCCGCAGTTACGAACGGGGCTGTTCCTCTCCCTGGTCTTCAGCAGACCAGGGAGAGGAAGCAAAGCGGCGGAACACGCGGGCAGCGGACAGCCCAGACGCGTCTGGGCTGTCAGCTGGCCGCGTGTT